TCCATCCTTCGAGTACGGTATCTTCAGGACCCACCGCGTACGGCGAGCATCAACGACGTCCGTCAGACTCAAATCCCTTCTATCCACAACAAAGACCGCCTGCTTATGCGTCGGAACCCGCGTCGCATCCCCCGCCCAGCCATTCGCGACATCAGAGCTCATCGTCTATCAATGCTTCTATGACGCGGAACATGCCTCCTCCTTCGCCTCCTCAACATCCTAGCCAACAACCGCCTCCAGTTCCTCATCCACATCAAATGGGTCATTACAGTGGCCCACCTGCGCCGAGGGCTCCTCCGGTCAGCCTCGGTCCTCCGGGCGCTTTCCCTTCCGCTCGAGAGCTTCCTGCGCTCAACTCAATACCGCGAACGGGGAGTACCGGAGGAAGCATGTCGATATCTTCAATACTTGGGGGGCCTCCGCCGGCCTCTCGTGAACCAACCCCTGGTCATCCAGGTTCCTTCCAGCCTCCGGTTACCACTTCTGCCGTGTCGGGTCCCGCATATGCTGCTCCTGTTCATGCATCGCCTAGGATGCAGCCTGCGAATGAATACGCTGCTTATAATAGAAGGCCTCAGACTCCAGATCAAGGTAGAACTTTTGATACGAGAGATCACAGAGGTACCGCGGTCGGGTCGCCTCCACAGAGCATGTATGGGACTCCTGAGTTATCACGGTATAACACTCCCCAGGCGTACCAGCCACGTGGCCCGCCGATGCCCCCGACTGATGAGAGAAGGGAGCAGTCGGGTCGAATCCCTGCTGCTAATTTACCCCCTAGGCCGAGTAGCCAGCCGAGATCTTATCATGGTATACCCCCCAGATCTGCAGACATGGGGCGAGGCCCTCCGTCTGGGGAACCCGTCTATGGTAGGCGGGAAGACACGCGACCACCTGGATTGGTGGGATACGATCCGGAACGACAACCTCGAGCGATGCCATACGAAGAACAGCGTCGATTTATTTCGGATCGAGAAGCAGAATTCCAGGAGAGGGAGCGAAGGGAGAGGGAAAGAATGCATTACGAAGAACAACGTGTCTTCGTACTCAACAGAGAGCGTGAGATGGAGAAAGAGCGAGAAAGAGAAAGAGATAGGGAGATGGAAATGCGCGAAAGAGCTAGAAGGGAAAGGACTACGTCTGACCCGGGTCGCCCGCATGGTCAGCACCCAGCGGAGCTTGGTCCTCAAGTGCTCCCACGGCAACCGCCTTATGGAAGGCCGGATCCCCGAGATGCGGCAACTTGGCAGCGGCCTGGGTATGATCAACCACCTCCGAGAGAATCGTATAATCAGCCTTACCCTGGCCCACGACCGAATGAGTTCCCTTCGACTACGGCAGGGCCATACGGAGCGCATCCTGCTTTCGCGCAGCCCCCTCACGAACGCTTTCCAGCAACCGCACCACCTCCACACGTAATACCTGCAAGCCAACCAGGTCCGGCACCCGCGCATCCTTTCGAGTCGCCCGATAGGCATCGATTTATCCAGGCCCATCCTCAACAGCAACCACCGCCGCAAGCAATCCAACGAGGCAGACCGGCCGAAGACGTCCCTCCTCCGCCTTCAGTCGCCTATAACGGCGGACCAGGTTCGGCTGTGTTCGAAGTGAACCGATCACGCCCTCAAGATGATAGTCCGGCACCAACCGGTCATCAAAGAGCTTTCCTTGCTATCCAGGAAATCAATCGTAAGGGACGGGTGTCACCATTGCCGCAAGCTGTTCAAGGAGCGCAGCCTCAGTTACAGGGCCCTGCTGGTGAGCCTGGGATCAAGAGTGAATTTGGTCGCATGTTTTCCGGCATAGGAAGCGGTGTTCGCGGTATCGGGGTCTCTAGCCCGGCGCCAACTAGCATACAACCCCAATTCTCAAATTCGGGTCCTCCGCGGCGTGAAGAGGAGCATCCTACTCATGAATTACTTACTGATGGACCTGCGAAGCCGAGGGGGAAGAGGAGGAAAGCCAAAGACGATGATAGTAAAGGCGATGATGATAGCAATGGTCGGGCTACGCCGGTTGGCCGAGCCAAACGTCCCAAAACCCACGCTCATCACCACCACCACCAGTAAGTCACAAATTCTCATATTTATACGCTTCAACCGATATTCATTATAATACTGTTTAGTCATCATCACCATCACCATCATGGACCGGACAGAGCCCCTTCGCCTCTTCCAGCGGCAAATGGACAGCTCAAGAGCCTTAAAACTAACACGCCTGTGCCTTCTCCTACACGTAAAGACTTCGCTTTTACTCATCACCACCAACCCCCGAGATCAGTGCCGGCGCCGGCGCCGCCTTCGATGACGGCAACGCCCGGTTCGACTATTATCCCTAAACCGAAACATAAGATTTCATCTCAAGCGGTGCTCGATAGCATCGCAGATCGGCCGCGGAAGCATCTAGGCGATGTCGTGTATCAAGTAACTCTAAAGCCCACGAAGTTAGAGTCGTCCCATACCAAGTTCGGATACTCATCTAACCCACGTCCCTTGCCTATGGACGTGATAAAAGGTAACGAAAACTCCACTCTGACGGTCAAGATCCCACGTGTACACTTGAGCCCGTCGGCCCGGGAGGAGATTACGTCCCGCCGAGCGGTTTGGGGAACGGATATCTATACGGACGATTCAGATGTTGTTGCCGCATGTATTCATGCGGGCTGGATTCGAGGTGAATGGAGCGAAGATGTGGATATCGACCTGCTAGACCTGTATAAGCCAACAACATCGAAGAAGCAACGCGTGGCACCTGCCGAACAGCAACTCGAGGTATTGACTTCGCCGCCGGTTTCGGGTCCCGTCCGAGTACCCGCGGACCGAGATTTGCACGTGACTCTTCTCGTCCTCCCTGCGCTGGAGAAATATAGCAGTTCAACGCGCTTCGGTATCCAAAGCCGCGAATTCGGGGGAACATACAACGGGCGCAAGTCAGTCCACGATGGGATCAGCTTTATGATCATAAGTGTACGCTGGGTGGACGGCGCGGCGCCACAAAGCAGGCTTCGCGGTAAAGCGCGTAGGGAGCGTATTAGGAAAGCTATGAGCGAAGTCAACCGGAGTCAGGTGGTGGATATTGGGGGAAAGGAGATGCTAGGTAAGATGGCAACATCGAGGGATTCTAGCGCTGGTAGAGAGAAGGATACCGGGAAGGCGGCCGACGGTAATAGGGAGGGCAATAAGGAAAACCGCCCTGCAACTACATTCAATGGTGGTGTTCTTGCACCGAGCCAAGAGAAGCCCAACGCAGATACAAATACGGGCTTGGATGAAGGGGTTCCGGAGAAGAACCGTTCAACGGACGACCAAAGCGGGAGGACGAGAGATGCTATTACGAATACTGATGCCGGAGAAGAAGTAAGGAAACATGGAATGGGCGAACCCGTGGGTGCTTCCACGTAACGCGAACCCCATATTGTATCGATGTAAGGGAATTAAAAGATGGGAGGATCTGTATTGGGACCACTAGGCGAGATCCCTCGAAGCTAGAATTGAGGGACGCTTACAGCAGAGGGATTTGATAGTGTTGCCTTTCTTCTACGTCCCGTACGCCCCTGACGGTATTTCTGAGATACCCTAGAATGTACTTATATGGCTGTTGCTGCTTCCGTCTTCACCTATATAGCATAGCGCGGAGTTTCGAGCAAGAAAAGCGTATGATGATACAAAATACAGTCATCCGATGTTACACTTTCATCACTTCCATTGCAGCATAGCAATCTGATACTTGAATGTAGCGTCAGGTGATATATGGCTATTTTCATTTATATGCTTGATAATTTGATGATGTTGCTAGTCTACGTGCAGTAATCATTTAACTCGGGACGTATAGTGACAAACCACGTCTTGTGAGGGATGAGTACATGTCAAGCTGCCGACCCGGCTTACAAGGTAGCCATGACTGAAGTAAGGGGCTGAGAGAAGAGGGTTATGTCGGCCTAGGTTCTGACGCATTCTTCCAACTTGGATCGTTAGACATATAACAAGCAACCTCAGTCCCAAGTATTATTCATTATACAAGTTCGATTCAGAAAGGCTTTCAAAAATCCGTAACCCGGCCGTTAAAGCTATAATCGCCAGCAGGTCCCCAGCGCAGGGGTTCGTTCTTGGGCCCGCCTACCTCGCCCGTCTTAGGGTTGATGTCGCCTTCGAACTCGGGTGGCGCACCTTTCCGTAGCGGCGTCGGCGAGAAATCGCCCCCGACGGCTGGCAAGCTTTGGTCCGCGGCCGAATGAGAATTGGCGATGGTAGAAGTATCGGAAGTGACGGGAGAGCTAAAGTCTGGGGACGAAGTCGGGTTAAAGCCCTCTTGGGTGTTAGCGGTGCGTTGTAGCTGTTCAAATTCGGCTTGTTGGTCGGGTGGGAGGCGCGGAGGCGATGGCATAGATTGAAATGGATTAGGACTGTTGGATGCGTGGCGTTGATGCCGCAGAGGAAGAAACGCTGCTGCTTGGAGGCTGGATAGTTGCGATTGCGACTGCGATCGCGAACGAGATTGCGCGGTCGTGTAGGCGGAATATGAACGCGAAAGTCGCGTAAGATAGACAACGCGGGACGCCATTACGAAGGTGATTTTTATTTATTTTACTTCTACTCTTCTGCGGAATCGAGTAATATTATTACCGTCTTTTGCTGTGAATAATTTTGAGGGGTGTATGATGTAGACTCCGATGTTATGGAATCATGGATTTAAAGGTACAGCGCTGTCTTGTCTATCGCATATATTAGTTACGTGCATATCTACTTATTTTTATAAATAGCTAACCTATTTAGTTAAAGGTATAAGTATGTAGATACCTAGGTACCTGTTTTAATTCAGATGTATCTCGGTATGGCGTACAATCTACAAGTTGTAAATCCGCCTAATATGTAAAGCTATTATTATATATTTATATATCCATAATACAAGGTAAAAAGATGATAGAAAAGAAATTAAATCTAATTTAAGTAATAATAATACGTCACTATAATGGAGAGGGACTTGAGTAAAAGTAAATCAAACGAGCTCAGCAGGGATCGAACCTGCAATCTTCAGAGAGCGGAGAACCTAGAAGACGGAACCGAAATCTGACGCCTTACCATTAGGCCATGAACCCCATTGGTGGTGGTGAGGTTTAATTTGGGCAAAAGATTTATATCTATTAGTGATGAGTAGTGTAAGTGATGTAGAAGAGTAGAAGAGGGCTTTATGCTAGATCGAGTTAAGTGGTGGACCCATTCTTAAGTTGAACTTGCTTGAGTTCCAGTCAACTTGCACGGATAACCCAAGTATATTATATTACTTACGTACATAGTACAATACACCCCTTATATTAATATTAGTTCTTCAACTATGCATAATATAAGAACAGGGCTTTAAAATCTAAATAAAATAATGCCTTTTAAAATATCTAATCTATTTTACTAGGATTTCATACTATAAAAGATCCAAAAACTATAATTACAACAATATCCCAAGGCAGCTTTAAAGATATTTTCAGGATCTCAACAAAGTATTTCCAAGGGTCCGCCAACTAATATTAATAGGTACAGGGGGTATGTTATATAATACATAGATCCCGTCCGCTCTCCCATAGACAAACCAGATATTGAAAAATCGTCTGTTAGGGTGGGGGCGGATGGCGAATCCCTGATGTCGTACATAAGTTTTCCTTATATTTTCTTCGAATCGAGATTTAAATGATCAATATACACAGCCAAATCCGTACAAGGTACGTACTTGCCTAGGTACGTGACTCGGCATCTTTTATCGAAAAAAAAAATAAGGGAAAAAAGACTCCAACCACCTGTTTGGGAAGAGGCAAGCAGGGATAAAATTATCTAATATCCATGTCAAAAAATACATACCTATATAAATATGTACCTTATTAAGTACCTAAATACTTATGTATGTACATAGGTACGTGGTACCAAGAAAGTGGAGATGGCGGGGTCAAGATAGAAATGATTCACCCCTCCGGTTATCGCTTTAGGAAAATATCTGTATAGTGTCTGTACATGTATACCTCTTATATGAAATTAATCATTTGGCGGTACTAAATCCTCAAGTTGCAAGAATAACATATTTTTCTTCTTCTTCTTCTTCTTTTCAGGTTTGACTCAGACTTCTCCTCCTCGTCCTCTTAAATCTCAATTTCTCCCTCTCCTATAAAGGGTCGAGTCTTGCTTCATCTTTTTGCTTTTCTCATAGATCAATTGAACTCAGCCAAGATAACATGGAGGCTCTTAAACAGACGTTTAGACGCTGCAAGGCCGAGAAGAGGGTATGGATTGGATTTCTTTCTTTAATCGCGCCCCTTCTCCCCTTCTCCCCTTTCACTCTTCTTTTCGCGCCGTGTATCTATATATACGACTCTATCCTCTACATGACTGACTGACATTGACACATAGGCTGCCTTGGTAACGTATGTTACTGCCGGTTATCCCAAGCCCGAGGACACTCCCGATATTTTGGTAGGAATGCAAAAGGGAGGCGCCGGTATGTTGTGGCAAATAGGAAGAATTAATCAAAATGGGCAAAGGCGGTAGCGACTAACAAGATTCAGACGTCATCGAGCTTGGCGTACCGTTCACAGATCCAATCGCCGACGGCCCGACGATACAGACCGCTAACACTGTCGCTCTCGCCAACGGTGTCACCATCAAATCAACCCTTGGCATGATAAGCGAAGCTAGATCCAAGGGGTTGACTGCTCCAGTTCTACTGATGGGTTATTACAACCCCTTGCTCAGCTACGGCGAGGACGCTCTACTGCGGGATTGTCAGGGGGCTGGTGTCAATGGCTTCATCGTCTGCGACCTCCCCCCTGAGGAAGCCGTATCCTTCCGAAAGCTATGTAGCAGGGGTGGTTTATCATATGTGCCCCTGATCGCTCCCGCAACGTCCGATACCCGTATGCGACTCCTGTGCGCCCTGGCAGATTCTTTCATATATGTCGTGTCGCGTATGGGTGTGACGGGCGCTCTGGGTACTCTCAATGCCAACTTACCCAACCTGCTCGAACGAGTCAAGAAGTACAGTGGCGACAAACCCGCCGCTGTCGGCTTCGGCGTGTCGACGCGAGAACACTTCCAATCCGTCGCTTCTATTGCAGACGGTGTCGTCATAGGTTCCCAGATAATCACGACTTTGCAGAAGACCAAAGGCGATAATGGCGCCAAGGCTGTTGAGGAATACTGCGCCTACGTAAGTGGACGCACGACCCAAGAAACAACCCGAGAAGTTGGCGTGATCGAGGCTATTGGCGCGGCCAAAGAACCTAGCGGAGAAGATGTAACGGTCAACGGCGTGATTACGGAGCATGACGACGCTGCGCTAGTAGCGCAACTTGCCGCGCTTCACGGCAAGATTCCCGAGCGATTTGGCGAGTTTGGCGGCCAGTACGTCCCGGAATCGCTTATGGACTGCTTATCCCAGCTAGAGGATGGCTTCAATGCCATCAAGGACGACCCTAAGTTTTGGGAAGAGTATAGATCCTACTACCCCTGGATGGGTCGGCCCGGCCAGCTACACTTGGCCGAAAGGCTTACGGAACACGCTGGCGGTGCCAATATCTGGTTGAAGAGGGAAGACTTAAACCATACTGGATCTCACAAGATCAATAATGCCTTAGGGCAGCTTCTGCTGGCGAAGCGGTTGGGGAAGAAGAAGATTATTGCCGAGACGGGTGCTGGACAGCATGGTGTCGCAACAGCCACGGTCTGTGCCAAGTTTGGTATGGAATGCACGGTTTTTATGGGTGCCGTAAGTTCCTCGTATTCTTCTGCTACCGAAATCTAGCATCTACTGGCAGGCAAGCTAATTATATGGTGTAGGAAGACGTACGTCGTCAAGCATTGAACGTGTTTCGTATGCGATTGCTTGGTGCCAAGGTTGTCGCAGTTGAAGCTGGCAGCAAAACGCTGCGAGACGCCGTAAACGAAGCGCTCCGCTACTGGGTCGTTCACCTCGAGGATACCCACTACATTATTGGATCAGCTATTGGCCCTCATCCCTTCCCTACCATTGTTAGAACCTTCCAGTCAGTAATTGGTAACGAGACGAAGGCGCAGATGTTAGAAAAGCGCGGTAAACTACCCGACGCCGTTGTGGCTTGCGTTGGTGGAGGGAGCAATGCCGTGGGCATGTTCTATCCTTTTTCGAACGATCCTAGCGTTAAGCTTTTGGGTGTCGAAGCCGGCGGCGACGGTGTAAACACAACCCGACATTCAGCCACATTGACTGGGGGTACTAAAGGTGTTCTACACGGTGTCAGGACGTACGTGCTACAAAACGAGTTCGGCCAGATCTCGGACACGCACTCGGTCTCGGCTGGTCTAGACTACCCCGGCGTTGGTCCCGAATTATCGTCTTGGAAGGATTCGGAAAGGGCCAAGTTTATTGCTGCTACAGATGCTGAAGCATTTATCGGTTTCAGACTCATGAGCCAGTTGGAAGGCATCATACCCGCCCTCGAGTCCGCTCACGGAATCTACGGGGCTATCGAGCTAGCCAGGACGATGAAGAAGGACGAAGACGTGGTAATATGCCTTAGCGGAAGGGGTGACAAGGACGTACAGAGCGTTGCGGAAGAGTTGCCCAAGCTAGGGCCTCAGATTGGATGGGATTTGCGTTTCTAAAGGGGATGAGAGTGAATGGCTATTTTACAGGTTCTGTCGAGAAGGAAACCCTTTTGTACATGGTCTTAGATTCGGCGTTGGCTGGCGTGAAGGGTCGCTAAAAAAAAGTGAAAATCATGATACATGACGGTATCGAGCAACATATAGAATTGCGTACTGATGCATTTTGTACAGAATGATATACGATACAGTGCCATAGCCTCCATAGCTCGCTGAATCTTGCCTCTCTACCTTTGCGCGGGATGGTCTCAAAATCCTCTAGACGCCTCCGGGTGTGTGAAGCTAGTAAAATAATGTGCTTTTATATTCTAGGTGTCTTGTCGTCGCCTTCGGATTTGTCTTCTTCTATGGTATGGTCGACATTCTCGATGACATTCTCGACGACATCCTCGACGACATCCTCGACTTCCCTGGCTTCCCTAACCTCTCCGATCGCCTCGCCGTCTTCCTCGATTAGTAAATCTTCGTTGTCTTTTACCCCACCGATGACGAATTCGTCACCACGTTCTAGCATGCCGTCAACCTCGCTTAGCACGGCCTCGGACGTAACACCGTCGGCAGCCAATTCGCCGGGAAGGGTCTCCTCGCCCTCTTCCTTGGGAGGCAAACCTAAAGCGGCACGCTCGCGGGCGAAACGTTCGCGTACAGCAGGTGTTTGCATAATCTTCCAACGGAGAGCCCAACCAGCAGGACCTAAATCCTTGATACGACGAGCCTTCGACCCGAGGAGATACTCGTCGATACCACCGAGGCGATCTATCGTCTTCAGAACACCGGTCGTTAGGCGAGTACGCACAAATGCCCCTAGGCTCGGCGACCAAAGGCGCTTGGTGTGGCGGTTAGGTAGCCAAGAAGTACGAGACTTGTTGCCGTGATCGGGAGCTACCACATTGCCGAAACGGATTTTGGAACCAGCGAATAATCCTTCGTTTGCCTGCTTGTACGTTCGAAACCGGCCGTACGGGTATGCGGGTACTTGGTCTACCGGTACGGTCAAGTGAGACGGCTTTTGGCGATTCCGATGGGAGGTGGTGCTAAGAGCTCGTTGTGCTGGTATCCTTCGGGAAGTGGTGGAGGATATCTGTGATGTAATTGAGAAGAAGCAGGAGGGCGACGACGCCGAGAGACGAATTGATGCCATTCTTGTTCACTGCTATGTGGATCGCTAATTTGTTACGGAGACATTAATATTCGAGGCGAATTGGCACCGACTTTTTGGTGTTGGTGGACGTTTGGGACGTATGACGAGTTCACAAGTCGTCAACTGGGACTTTTTTTTTTTTTTTTCGACAATTGAAGATTTGCAGACGTATTTTGTTTAGTTGAATAGGATGGATATATTGTTAAATATCCATATATAAAGTACTGCCGTCGACGTGGTAAGGGACAGGTGCGGGATGTGGGGGAGAGGTAGGTACCTAGGTACTAGGTACTAGGTACTAGGTACATAGTAGGTAGGTAGGTAGTAGTACCTACC